GGGAGAGGGAGAAGCAGGCTTCCCGCGGAGCAGGGAGCCCGACGCGGGGCTCGATCCCAGGACCCTGGGATCACGACCTGAGCTGAAGGCAGACGCCCAATGACTGAGCCACCCAGGCGCCCCAGAATCTTAGAATCTTCTACCGTGTGCCCTTCAAAGGCCTGTGGCCAGTAAGCCCCATGGCGAAATTTCAGTCCAGTCTCTTCATTTTATAAGCAGAGAAACTATGATTTGGAGAGATTAAACCACCTATTTAAAATGTTGCTCCACATTGGGTGTTATACCCAACTAATGAATCATTGAACACGACATCAAAAACTAACGGGTACCATATGTTGGCTAGTTGAACTTAAATAAGTATAAATAAGAGAAAAAAAATAATAAAATAAAATAAAATAAAACGCTGCTCTAGCTTGCAGCTGGGGGTCTAGGACAGGAGAATATACTCTGGGAGCAAAGGTTTAGTCTGCTTTATGGTCACTCAGTCCGTGGAAGCCAGTTTCAACTAAAAAAAAGACCCATGAACTGGACAGAAGTTCTCTACAGGCCAACTTCCTGAGGTCCTCAGCAAGCTCTGGGACCCCTTGGTGATGGGGTTTACATGACACAGTCTGACTCCCACACCTGTGCTCAGGGTCAGGCCTGTCTGCTCACTGCCTTGTCGAGAGGCTAGTCCAGGCAGAGAGGATACAGAGGTGAGGCTCCGGCCCCAGGAAGGGAGCCAGGGTCTGTCCCCAGGAGCCTCCAGTCCCATGGGGGTGCTCCCGGATCCTGGGCTGCTGGGGCTGTGCTCTGCCATCCACGCTCCAGGGTTAAGCACCCCAGAGAGGGCACCCAATCCCTGCGTAGGCAAAGCATACCTAAGAAGCCATTTACAATTACTCTACCTACTGCTTTAAAAATGACACACGTCTTTGGCTTACAAATAAAAAGCATCAAGAGAACAAAACAAAAACCAGGAGGATGAGATCTAAGAGAAGAGGCAAGCAGGGGAGAGAGCTGGATCAGAGGCACCAGGGCCGGGCAGGGAACCATGGCACCGAGGGTGTGCTCCGGGCATCCTGGCAGCCAGGGTAAAGCAGGAAATGAGCTCGTCGGCTTGCTGGGAGGGAGCAAACTAGATCACCAGGGAAACATTCTTTTCTCGGCTCTAGGGCTTTACAGAATGTTTGCAGAGTGACTCTTTCTAGAAGGATCAGAGGAGAAGCCAGTGGGAGGGGTCTCCAGCAGCAGGGGACACTCCGTCGCCCTGATGCCTCCCCATCCAGCGTGGTCGGCGGGCGGGGGTCATGGGCTGAGTTGCCTTGTGGGGGCCGCTCAGAAGGGCTCAGACCAGAGCTCCTTGAGACAAGGGAGCAGACTCAGGGGCTCTGCCGGACTTGCTGGGGGGCTAGTGCTACCATCCGGGGACAAGATGCCTGCCCACCCCAACCACCCCCCCGGGACCCCATCGCCTGGGCTGGGCTGTGGAACTGGCACCCCAGCAGGGGGGTCATGGGTGACTTTCTGGCCCAGAGCACTTACAGAGCAGGTGTTCTCTGAGAACAGTTGAAAGGAGCTCCGTGCCCTTCACTGTTTTGTTCCCTGAGTGCTTTCCAGCTACTCACTTAGGCCAGGCCCTGGGCCGGGTGCCGCAGGTACATTGGGTACCACGGGAGACACGGTGCCTACGGCAACAGCTGCCACCCAGAGAACAAAGAGCCCAGGGGGAGACATTTTGTCCAACCTGGGGAATATCAGGGAAGGCTTCCTGGAAGTGGCATGGTTGGGGTTGCATTTTGAAGAATAAAGAGAAGTTAGCCCAGTGGAAATGGAGGGCAAGGACACCAGGCCTAGAGCCAGAATGCTGCGCATTGAATTCAGGGGAAGTGGAAGAAAGCGGTGCCACAGGGTGAGGCGGAAGTGGACGCTGGAGAGGTGGAAAAGCCGGACAAGGCCAGCCCCGGCTGTGTGCACCTTGCCAGGGAGTGTGGCTTCTCTCTGGAAAGCTGGGGGAGGCATCAGAGGCCGTAAGCAGGGGCAGGCACAGCCAGGATGACGTGGGACTGGGGAGAGGACACAGTCCACCAGGTTTTTGCCTGCATGGAGCGTCTCCCGGACTGTGTATTGGGGGGAAGGGGCAGAATCTTGCCTGGGGACCTCCTCCTGCCTTTCTCCCAACTCACTGGGCTTGGGGGCTACCTGGGGGGACAGGACAAAGACAGGCGCCTCAGGAGGATCAGAAACCATAATGCTGATGATGTCTTCACACCCTCTGGCAAGATCTTTCTCCCCATTTTACAGATGTGAAAACTGACTGGTTTAAAGTTCCGTGGTTCCTCAGTCAACCCGGGACCGAATGGGTGGCAGGGCCTTACGTATTCTCCTGGACCGGCCTCCCCGGGGCCCTCCCCCAGGCCCCCAGGTCCCGGGAAACCCTGTTCTGGCTCAGGGAGACGGGCCCCTGGACTGGGAGGTAGGGGAATTCCCTGGTGACCCAACGCCAGATCCCACCCTCCACTGCCATTCTCAGTCTAACCCCAACCTCTTCCAGGAGGTTGTGGCCCTGCTCTGCCATCCAAGCTGCCCACAGCTTCCTTCAGCGGGTACCCTCTGCACAGCGCACCCAGAGCCCCGCAGGCAGAGGCAACAGCAGAGCCAAAGGATCTGGGGCGGGAGCGGTTAGGTTTGCAGAACTGGAAGCAGTCCGTGTGTCTGGAACCCTGAAAGTGAGGGGAAACACCTGGTGTGTGGGGTTGGTGAAGCGAGAGAGGCCATAGGTAGGATTTTGGCCTTTGTTCCAAGATCAGTGGGTGGGAGGTGTTATTTAGAGGGTTTTAGGCAGGGACTGACGGTCAGTTCTGCTCTACAGAATCCTTCTGTGGAAGCAGGGAGACCCAGGAAGGGGTGTTGCTCCCATTGTCCTGATGGGAGAGGGTTGTCCAGGCTGAGAGCCCTCAGAGCCCCTCCTCCGGGAATCTCTGTCTGACCCCCAACCCCACGCAGGACTTATTGTGGGGGTGGAGCTGGTGGTCACCATGAGTTGTGATTGAAGGATCAAAAGGATTCCCAGCCTAGCTGCTAGCAAACTTGGGGCACCCATGCAAAGAGGAACTGGGTTACTAAGCTGTGTGCCCCCAGATTCTGGCCCAGAATCAGAATGTTCGGTTTATCTGCTGGATGGCTGGCTGGCTGGCTGGCTGGATGGCTAGTGGATGGGGGTTGGCTAGTGGATGGTGGGGGG